GGAAAACATAACTACATTCCGATGAAAACCAAACAGGTGCAGCAAACAACAGATGTGAGAGCCAGAAAAAATAACACAGGGAGTGGATTGGGAACTGCTGCAGTTTCCTGTCTGTGGTAAAATACTCTGACAAAAGCAACTTGAAAGAGAAAGAGTTAGCTTTGGCTCACAGTTCAAAGGTGCAAACCATCACCCTGCAAAAGTCAAGGTAGCAGGAGCAAGAAGCAGCTGGTCACATGACATCCACAATCAGGAAGCAGAGAGGGATGCTGGTCACATGACATCCACATTCAGGAAGCAGAGAAGAGATGAAAGCACGGCAGAGCTCAGCTGGTCACATGATATCCACATTGGGAAGCAGAGAGGGATGAATGCTGAGGCTCAGGCTCCTCCTAACCATGTCCACAGCCCAGGGTCCCAGACAGGGGATGGTGCCACTCACTATGGGAAAATCTTCTTGTCTCAACCCAATCAAGATGGCATGCCCCCAAACCCATCTCCCAGGGGATTCCAGATTCTGGCAAGGTGACAATTAACACTGACCATCTCAGGAAATAAGACAGGAAAAGAAGGTCCATAGGAGTGCTACGGTTTGGCTCCTGAAGTGGTTTGACCCCAAAGGCTCAAGTGTTAGAAGCCTGGTCTCCCAGTGACAATGTGTAAGAGGTTGTGGGAGGGCTGGGGAGATGGAGCAGTGGCTAAGGGTGAGTGACGCAAACAAGCAGAGCTGAGTTCAGACCCTCCTCTGAGGCATCTTGAGATGGCAGACTCCCTCCTCACCACACCCTTGCCCCTTTCCTAGGTTTTTCTGACTTCGGGTAGTCCATAAGCCCTATAAACACCAATCCATCTTTCCTTGGACTTGGGCTCCTTCCCCAGCCTTTGAGTACCACTGAGAACTCCAGTGTCAGATGAGCACAGAGGTGAAGGACACTGAAGGGGCCCAATGCTCTAATACTCCAATACATCTGTCCTTTGTAATGAAGTCCATTCACATCATGGGAGTAAAAGACGTCAGACAATGATGTCTCACCTGAGCTCCCAATGGCAGAGGCCAAACAGCCATTGCCTTCCTCCTTCCTGTGGGGCCTTCCTAGAGAATGTGCAGTCTCTAGAGGTGGATCTGGGGGAGGGAAAGGAAGCCATGAGAGACACTCCTGTGGCAAAATAAAATACCTACAAATAAATAAGAAGGGTGAGGTATCAGCATAAGTACAATTAAATAGTTTACCTATAAACTTTGCTTCGTTAAGCTTCCATAGGTATATAGACAGAAACGAATATTCATTGGTAGGTTGGCTCAGGATTCTAAGCTATTACTTCCTTGACCTGAATCTACACACCTAACACATTCCTAGACAATATATGCACCACAATGACAATATTTTAAAGTTAATTATAGAAAAGCGATTAGTTAATCATGTTGTAAAACATCCTTTTTAAAAAAGATTTATTTATGTTCTGTGTCCCATGTCCCTGTCTGGTGTGGAGAAGGTGGGAGATGTACCTGATCCCCAGGAACTGTCACCTGTGAGTGCTGGGAACCAGAGCTGGGTTCTCTACAAGAGCAGCAAGGGCTCTTCACTGCTAAGTCACCTCTCCAGCCTTAGAAAAAACAAATTTAAGGGGTCCTAGTGAAGGCAAACACCAGATATTTTCAGCTCTGTACGTGGGTTTTAATGAAGCAGGAGTCCTGTAGTGGCTACCAGACACCGTGAAGTGGAGTCAGGCATAGAGGTTAGTTATCAGGTAGAAGAAGAAAGTCAAACAATCTTTTAAGCTTCTGCAGCACAAAACTTACATTAGCTTATTTTTAAATTAGCAAGGAATTTTCATTTTTTTCAGTTGTTTGTACAGGTTTGAGTGTGTGGTGTATCCAAACATATGTGTGGTACATTCACACACGTGTGGTCTATTCACAGCGTACATCCATGTTTGTGTATGCATATGTGTGTGCGGTGTATTCACACATATATGGGTGTGTATGTATGTAGGTGTCAGAGGAGGACTTCTGGTGGCTTTACTACTCTCTGCCTATTTCCTGGAGTCAGAGTATCTGAATCTGGAGTTTGGCTGGTGGACAGCAAACTCCAGCAATCCTCCTGCCTCTGTGACTCACCTCCCCTGCACTGGGGTTCCACACTTCTCTAAAGCCACACCTAGATTCATACATGGGCGTTGCCATCTGAATTCAAGTCCTCATGCTTGCACAGGAGGCACGGAAAAAATGTGGTGGTATTTTGTTTGTGACCTAACAAATAAAGCTTGCCTGAAGATCAGAATGTGGAGCTAGCCACACTAGTTAGCCATAGAGGCCAGGCAGTGGTGGCATACACCTTTAAGCCTTTAAGCCTTTAAGCCTTTAAGCCCTACACTCAGAAGACAGGTGAAGATGGATCTCTTCAAGTTCAAGGCCACCCTAGGCTATGCGAGATTTAATCAATCTAAAAGAGAAATAAAGCTCACACCTCTGATCCTGGCACTTAGGATCACATGCCTTTAATCCCAGCACTTGGGAGGTGGAGACAAGGGACAGGTGACTGGGGGAAGAGAAGAATATAAGGCAGGAGGACACGGGAGCTCATGGCATTCAGGCTGAGGATTCCTAGAGACAGGATTGCCCACTTGGTCTGAGGATTCGGCAGAACTAAGAACTTTCAACATTTACCCCTATATCTAACTCAGGATTTTTGTTATTAAGACCAATTAGAAATCGTGCTACATTTTGATCCACCCAGGCATCTCTCAGTCCTCTTCCCCTTTCATTTTAAATGGCTTTAATGAGAACTCAATTGTCTTAGTTAGGGTCACTACTATTGTGCTGACACCATGACCAAAACTTGAGGAGGAAAGGGTTTATTTGGCTTACACTTCCTTATCCCTGTTCATTATTGAAGAAAGTTAAGACCAACAGGACAGGAACCTGGATGCAGGAGGTGGTGCAGAGGCCATGGAAGAATAATGTTTATTGGTTTACCCATTGTGGCTTGTTCTGTCTGCCTAAAGTCAGGTCTTATGGAGGCATTTTCTCAACTGAGGCTCATTCTTTTTTGGATAACTCCAACCTGTGTCAAGGTGACAGAAAACCAGTCAGCTCAATAGTATTACTGAAGGCCCTCTGACACATTAACTATCTCGTCAACATCTACTGTGAGAAGAACAGCATGCCAAGTCAGAGGGAGTACAGCCGTAAATACAACAGGCAAAGTCTCCACCTTCATGGATATTACAGACCAACAGGGAAGAACAATGGAACAAATCCAAATGCTACTACACACACACACACACACACACACACACACACACACTATAAAGAACTATAAATGAACATCTTTATGATGTGATGAAAAGGAAGGTCTCTCTAGTTATTGCAAACACAACAGAGGTTGAGGAGGGAGGCGGCCCTGGGCATGGCTCAGTGGATGCGGCATTTACTGCGCCGTGAGGACGAGGGTACAAGCAAGAAGATGAAATGCCTGTGGGCTTGAAGGAAGACCAAGGATGAGTCCCAACACTGACTTCAGGTCTTCATGTGGATTTGGACACATGTACACCCTGTACCCATACACACATGCATACACACATATGAAAATGCAAAAAGAAGACAGGGGAGCTTTATATGACTATAGGAATACGCAACTTTTATGTATATTCATGAAATCTGTTTGTTCATAACAGATGTAAAAGTTATGAATAAAAAAGGCTGGAGTTTAGCTCTGGGATATTTTTTTGAGACAGGACCTCACTATGTAGCCTTGGCTAGCCCAGAACTCTATGTAGAGCAGGATGGTCTCAAATGAATCCCCCTGTTCTATGGGATTAAGGGCATATACCACCACATCTGGCCTGCACCAAGGCTTAAGAGAATACTAACACTTCACGTTGGTTGGGGCCGTCAGTCTCTCTTATCAGTGCAACCATTTTTATAAATTGCTACTTTCTGTAAAGAACAAGACAGGAGGTGTTCAAAGGTCTTATGTAAGATTGGCCTGGAAATTTTACTTGAAGATTGATGGAAAGAGGCAATCCAAAAAGAATGACATAAACTGTACCATTTACAGTATTTACAGATACTCTGTACCATTTACAGTATTAAAATAGAAAAACACAAAGGTCCAAAGAGAGAATTAGATTCGGCAACGTTCTGTCTTACTTTTCCTCCCATTCATTAAAATGACAATATTAACTGCCCTTAAACATTAATGTTTTAAGTTCATTCTCTATCTTCACTGGGTGGTGGCACCATGGATTAAAAGTACTTCAAGCGTCTTATAAGATGCATTTTGTAACTCCGTTTGTAAAGGCGAATGGAGGAAGGTCACCAACATTCCTATTTTTATAAGTAAAATGTTTCTATTTATACATATACACGTTTACGCAATACAACACATGGGTTTTGGACAGATTTCGAATGACTTTGCCCGTGGATTTTCTAGTAGACCAATAGTGAACTTAGAATTCTGGAGAGCACATTCTCTCTTAGCCAGGACCCACTCTGCGCCTTTCCTTTGCTTCTGCAGGCAGAGGGCGGATGCCCAGCAGAGGTGCACACAAAGGCCGAAGACCCCCGACTGCGGCCCCGCGTCCTCCCCGCCTTCCGAGAGGGGGTGCCCCACGCATTCGCGGCGCGAACCGGGCCAGGGCTGCCCGGCTAGGTAGAGCTCCTGAGCGAGCCGATGGGGTACTGCAGGGGCCGAGCGGGGGTCTCGGTCCCGGTATCGTCTGCGGCCTGGCGCCCGCGTGAGCAGCGCACCTGCGACTCCCGCGGTGTGCGTGGAGGACCGCGCACTGCACAGCCCAGCCGGCCCCGCCCTCGGGCCACAGCCCCGGGCTCCCAGTGGGAACGCCCCCGCCTCCCCGCTCGCAGACCACCAGCCCGAGGCTCCGCACTCACCCCAGTCACGGAAGAAACAGAGGCTGGCCGCTCACGCAGCCACGCCGGGCGCGCTGGACTACATTTCCCACAGGCCATGGGCATCGACAAAGTGACCCACGGCGCAGGCGCAGCTGCAGGGCTACTGGCGAGGGGTGGTTCCTCTGGTGCACGTGCGCGGTTGACCACCTTAAACGTGTTTCCTTAAAGAAACCGGTTCCAGAACCTTTCCTTCCCTAAAGTAAGAGGACCCTGGACACCCTCTTGCATGAGGGAGCATGAGAGGTAAGCTAGTAATGTAATGTTCTAGAGACTTCGAGGCGCTCCGTGAGCCGGAGACAGGGGCTTCCTGTTATACTGCTCTTCTAACTTAGGGCTACAGGGTTGTCTCTGTGGAAAACCAACCGACTCGTGGATGCTCAGGTAATTTCGGCTGCATCCGCCGCTCTGGAGCTTGGAGAAGCGTGTGGCATTTTAGGATAAAAAGATAGGCTAGAGACTATAATGTTTGGTTCTTATCTAAGTAAATAAATAAAGGTGGTCGTATGTGTCTTTTCAATGTTTTTCTTAAAACCTTGACATACTCCTACTTGCATACGGTGCATTGCGTCACATTCACCCCCTGGCCACCCTCTTCCATCCACCTGCGTCTTCGTTTGGCCTCTTTCCTCAATAGTCCCTCTTCTACACTTTGTCTCCTACCCCGTTGTTTTTTTCCTTCAGGATGTAAATCTTCTGTTTCCTGCGACAAAGACTGGCTCCTGAACCAAATATTGGAGAGGCTTCTGGAGGCCACTTTTTGACTCGCCTCAAAAAATGCGTTCAGTCTCTCACCCTCTACACGTGACCAAATTCTTTAAACCCCACCCCTATGTCTTAAGTCTGTGACATACTTTTAGCAGAAAGCTCCTCCTTGATGTCCAACATGCTCTCCCCTGTTGGCTACAAATCTCTAGCTGGCTTTTTTGTGTTCAGGGTTGAGCTCTTGTTTAGTGCAAGTTGCTGCCCCTATTGCCAACATACCAAATAGAAATCTCTTTCTTGTCCTCAGTTGTAGTGTCTGGCTCTTTCTCCATTGTTTGTTTGGACTATTTAAAAATATGGGAATATGAAAAAAAATCACAATTGAGGGCTTAGCTTGAGAGATGGCTCAGTAGTTAAGAGCGTTTATTGCTCTTGAGCCGGACCCGAGTTCTTGGCACCCCACATCAGGCTGCTCCAACCAGCTGTAACTTCATGGCCAAGGCATCTAATACCTCTGGTCTCCACGGGCACCTGCATTCACATGCACATACCATACACTGTAGAACATTCCTTTACGCTGTGAAAATTATGCTGTGACGCTTTAATAAAGAAGCTGAAATAGCTGGACAGGATGAGGTTAGGTGGGGAAACCAGACTAAGGACACTGGGAAAAAGTGGGGAGTCAGAGGAGTCGGTAGTGAGGCACAAAGAAAACAGGATGTGCAAGATGAATGAGAGATAATGCCATATAGTTGAATGTAGATCAATATAAGTGGATTAATTTAAATTGTGAGAGTTAACTAACAACAAGCCTGAGCTATTGGCCAACCACTTATAATTAATATCACATCTCTGTGTTGGTTACTTGGAAACTGGCAGGTGAGAAAGAAAAGTCTGCCTACAATACATACATACATACATAAACATATTTTTTAAAAAAAAAAATTTGAGCCGGGCGGTGGTGGCGCACGCCTTTAATCCCAGCACTCGGGAGGCAGAGGCAGGTGGATCTCTGCGAGTTTGAGGCCAGCCTGGTCTACAAGAGCTAGTTCCAGGACAGGAACCAAAAAAGCTACAGAGAAATCCTGTCTTGAACCCCCCCCCCCAAAAAAATTGAGGGTTTACAAGAAATGTTACAGTAACCCTGCAAAAAGCAATTACAAGAAAAGAAAATCGGTTCCAGAGTCAGGCATATTAGTGAGCACCTGTAATTTCAGCACTGGGGAATCAGGCAGGAGGACTGATACAAGTTCAAGGCTTCCTGAATACTGAAGTCACAGGTCTGCACTGTCTGCATAGTTTCACCAAATACAAAGTAACTTGTATTCTCTCCACTCAGATAGAAAAGCTGACCAGAAAACATCACCACAAATGTACAACCTTTGAAGAACAAAATTAACAAGTTGATAGACACATATAAATCTGTCTACTCCAAGACTAGGAGGAAATGGTTTATAGATATGATTTTATGCCCCATATAAGTCAGTCTTCTCCAAGATTTGGAGGAAATGGTTTATAGATATGATTTTATGCTGGTTTCAAAGTAGCCACACATTTAATAGAATTGGTCTCTAGATCATATTCTTTGATGGGGTAAGGTGCAGACGTATCTGATGAGGATGGCACAGCTGCTCGACAAAGATCCAGCCAAGATGAGCCACATGGTGACCGCTGTGCCACCTGTTTTTGATCTTCATGGGTTGCATGCATACATAGTTATGTAACTTAGGGATAATGGATTTATGGAAAATTTCTTATGAATCCTTGATGCCTTCTCCCAAGAGTACTGCTTCTAAGCTTCCCCAGGAAAGTCCTGAGCGTACTACCTGTCCCACTTTTAGGAAGACATCCTTATCTACTTGAAGGTCTTCCTTATGCCTTGGGGGTGTGACACGTAAAGAAGCCAGAGATCTCTTTGAGGCTCTGAGATATTCTTAAAACAACTGCCCTTGCACTTACTCGGTATCTTAGTTAGGGTTTTTGTTGCTGTGAAGAGATACTATAGTCATGGCAACTCATAAAGAAAACATTTAATTGGGCTGCCTTGCTTATAGTTTCAGAGGTTCAGTCAATTATCATCATGACAGGGAACATGGTGGCACGCAGGCACTCATGGTGCTGGCTGCCTGTTTTACAGAAAGGCAGGAAAAGGTGAACTGAGAGTCCCTCTAAGCCTGCCCCTCCAGTGACACACTTCCTACAACAAGCCCACACCTAATGGTGCCACTCCCTTTAGGGGCCACTCCCTCTCAAGCCACCACATTTCACTCCCTTGGCCTCCAAAGGCCTATAGCCATATCATCATGTGAAAAATGAATTCAGTTCAACTTCAAAAGTCCCCTTAGTCTGTAAGAGTCTCAAACTTGTTTCAAAGTCCCAAGTCTTCTCTGAGCTACGTGACAATCTCTTAACTGTAATCACATATACATTATCATTCCAAAATGCAGGGAAAGGAGCATAGTGAGGAAATACTTGGCAAAAACCAGACCAAAAACGAGCTGGGCAAACTTCAGACTCTGCATCTCTACATGTGATGTCAAAAATGCTCTTCAGATCTCCAACTCTGTTCAGCTTTGTTGACTGCACACTCTCCTTTCTCTTGGGCTGTTTTTACTCCCTGTTAGCAACTTTCCTTGATAGGAATCCCAGCGGATCTGGCATCTTTAACATCTTGGGTTCTCTAAGGCAATCCAGGCTTTAATTCAGTTTCGTGCAATGGCCTCTCTACAGGGACTCCATTCAGGGACACCCACGACACATTCCTGGTCTCTGAAAAAGACTCTTTTCTTCTGTCTTTAAAACCAGAACCACATGGCTGCAGCTGCCAAGTTCTGCTACTTGCTGGCACTGGAACATGGCCCCCTTGTTCAATCACATCCTCACCGGCTTTCTGTCTTTCATGGCCTAAGCTTGGCTGTGTTGAAACCTGCTCTGTAGACCAGGCTGGCCTCAAACTCACAGAGATCTGCCAGCCTCTCTGCCTTCCCAGTGCTGGGATTAAAGGTGTGCCCCACTGTTTGGTTAGCGGGCTTCACCCCAGACCCCTGGCATCCATTTTTGGAATGTTGGGTGGAAAGTTCCATTTCAAAGCCCCCTCTCCTGGGAGTTGCCTCAGTCCAAGCTCCACCTCTGAGAAAGCCTGCCAAACGGTGACCTCTCCCCAGGGAGGGTCAAGAAAGCCCACCAAATGGTAACCCCCTCCCCAAGGAAGGTTAAAGCCACTCCCACAGGCTATTTAAACTGCTCCCCAGAGAATGAACATGTGGTCTCTCCTTTTTCGTGTTTTCCTGGGGTTACCTGGAGTGCTGGCATTCATTAAACCTGAGTATCTTTTAATTCGGTCTGATTTGGTCTGATTGTGATTATTTGCATCGGAGGAGAGGTTGGTCATTTAAAGAAAACTTAAAACCCACTACATCCTGCTCTAAACTTTTCTTTAGTTCCTTTTCATAAGTTGGAAATTTAGCTGGGTGGGATCTTAACCTGAGGTCACTACTCCCTTTATTCCTTTCCTTCATATTTCTCCACTTTCTGATGCTGTTTTCCTCCTCAAATATTTTTTCTTGCTCAGCTTGCTCCTTTTCATTATATACCTTTATTAGAATTAGCACTAGTAACCATGTGACAGAGTCTATGCTAGGCTGTTTTGAGATTTCCTCTGCCAATGAAATTAATCCAAAATTCTTCACTTTAGCCTCACAGACTACCACAGTCAGGACTTCAGATAAGCCTTACACTTTCCCATTGCACAGAGACTGAACAACAAATAATACAGTTAACTCTCCCAGGACTTGGACTTGACTATTATCCCAATTTTATCGGGGTCCCCTAGAGATATCATTACCCCTAGACAGCAAGAAGAAATCTAGAGAACATGACAGCCACATTCCTAAGAGGTGGGGTGTGTGATTTTCGGTCATTTAATGAGTTATGAATATTTCTCATCATTTGGGGGGGTTGGTTACAAATTGTTATTGGTAATGGTTAAGAAAAAAGCTGAACAAAAAAGATTAGATTCAAGGATCTTGTTCTGAAAAAAGGGGGAATATAGAAATGATAGAATAAAAGGGTAGACTATCAAATCTACTTTTAAATTAAAAAAGCAACTACTAGTCTTAAATATTCTACATTGGTGTGGATTTTTGTATATTGATACAAATATAAGGTTGTTTTGTTAGAACATATACATGTTTCTAGTTGTTTAAGGTATTGCACCTATGCAGCTCATTTAACAATTTAATATAAATTTCTAGTCCTTGAAAGTCATTACAAACTAGGGTAATTAAAAAAATGCAGATTACTACTTAGTCACAAATAACAATCAAACTTGCATCATGTGAGGTATGGCTTCAAGGTCAAATAGAGATATTTTAAATAGATGGGTGATCTTCAAACACTTCAGAGGTCTACAGAATATGGCATTTAAGATGTTTTAATAACACATGTCTTTTCATTACATGTCTGCTCCTGGCAGCACCAATCTACTTCAGAGAAGATGATGGGCCTCAAAGAATCTCCAAATGGATTTTGCTTTCTTTGTGGCAAAATGTAAGTGGACATTTTCTGTCCTGATTGCCTATTCCCAAATACTCATCAGTCACTCCCCAAAGTACCACACAGAGGTTTATATGAATTATAAATGCTTGACCAATAGCTTAGGCTTGTTACTAACTAGTTCCTACAATTTAAATCAACCCATTTCTATTAATCTATGTATCACTACATGGCTTGTGGCTTTACCTGTCCTTTAGCATTTCTTGTTTCCTGGACAGTTGACTCGCATCTCTCCTGACTCCCCCCTCCTTCTTCCCATCATTCTCAGTTTGGTTTTCCCATCTACCTGTAGTGATGTTTTCTTTGTTTTAACAAGAAAGCTTGGCTGAAGATCAGGGTGCAGAGCTAAGACACTAGAGGCCAGGGAGTAGTGGGACATATCTTTAATCCCAGGACTTGGGAGACAGAGGCAGAGGGATCTCTGTTAGTTCAAGGTTACCCTGGGCTACACAATATTGAATCTATCTAAAAGAGAAACAGAGCTCACACAAAGGTAATCCCAGCACCTGGGATCCTACACCTTTAATCCTAGCATTGGGGAACTGGAGACAGGAGTGATATGGCTGGGCAGAAAGAAGAATATAAGGTAGGAGACAGGAGCTCAGTGCAGTCTGAGTTTTAGTGGAGACAGATGCAGTCTGGAGATGCAGTCTGAGGACAGGATTGTCCCTTCAGTCTGAGCACTGGTAGAGGCCAAAGAACTCTCTAGTGACTGGTGCTCTGCTTCTCTGATCTTCAGCATTAACCCCCATATCTGACTTTTTATTAATACCAATTAGCATTCATGCTATAGCTACTATCCTGTCAGCTTTTTATTAACCAATGAGAGTAATACATATTCACAGTATACAGAAAAATTATTAAACAAGCAGCAAAAACTAGCTATTTGGGTAAGAAACTGCCCTTGCCCCAACTGCTGACAGTATACTGTCAAAAATGGACAAGAAAGACATAAAGAAAGTGACTGCCAAAGTTTGACAAAACAGGATAGGACATACCTTCAAAATTCTTGCTTCACAGAAAAGTCTATCAGATATTCTAGGCCTGTAGGCCAAAGATGGATGCCCCAATGTTACAGAGGAACCTTGGGGTGGCTGTCCAGGCAGCCAGATATCTCTGTCATTTCTTAAATTTAGAAGTGGCTTACACTATTCTTCCTGTTTATTCAGGTGATATTTTATCCTTCTTGGGTCTCTGATGGGGATTGAAGCCTAGATAGCTATAGTTTTCTTTGTTACCAAATTTAGAAAAAAACTCACAAAAGTATATAAGGTTGAGAGACATAAAAGCTTAAATTGTTTAAAAATTTTTTGAGTTCTAAAAAATAGTTTGGGGTTGGTATACAAATTGGGATAAAAAGAAAATTAGGTACAAAACTTTAGACTCACTAGGATAGGATAGACAATAAAATATTTTCTCTGATTTTGCCAAATGCAAATGGATTGGACATTATAAATGCAATTCTTATCTAATAATTGTTCTTATTGTATATAGTTTTACTGTGCTAAGAGTTAAAATCTTTCTTTTTTATTTAGACAAAAGGGGGAAATGCTGTGTAATACTCCTTTACACGGTGTAAACATATGTCATTGTGATTGGTTTATTAATAATCTAAAAGGCCAATAGCTAGGCAGGTGGTATAGCATGGACATCTGGGCAGAGAGAGCTCTGGGAAGAAGAAAGTGGAGTTGCCAGCATGGGGAGTAGAGAGTAAAAGTAACCAAGCCACATAAAAGAACATAGATTAAGAGATATGGGATAACTTATGTTGTATAGCCAGTTAGTAACAAGCCTAAGCTATTGTCTGATCTTTTATAACAATAAGTCTCTGTGTCGTTATTGAGTAGCCAGTGATCCCAATGAAAAGATCTGACTACAGAAAAATATCTGGACATTTGTCCAGTTCTAACAATAGAACTAGAATTTTTACTGCTAATAAAGAACTTTTTTTTTTCAGGCTCCCAAACTTCTGTGAGAGGCAATTTTTCAATCCAGAAATAACCTTTGAACTGTTTGTTTTTAGATGTTCTTCCTAAAACAGTCCTCAAATTAGCCATTTTATTTTCATGATCATGTCTTACAGCTTTAAACTACAGATACCACTCAAGATATCTAATGGCTTAACTTCGGCTTTCATTTCAAGCATTAATTTCCTAATTTCTGTTATCAGGAACCCTCTATACTAGGAAGGCTGTCTCCCACTGTTCCTAAGGATGCTAGAATGATCCACACTTCCTCTGGTGCTACAGGAGCTCTTTCCACTCCTTCAGCCAATACCAGCCCACTTGGGTGTGGTCTCTTTGGCTTGAAATAGCAGCGGTAGCCCGTGTGTGTGTGTGTGTGTGTGTGTGTGTGTGTGTGTGTGTGCGCGCGCGCGCGCGCTCTTTCTCTCTTTTGCTTTGGACTCCACTTCCAGCTAAGAGACTCTTTTCCTGGTTGTGCAGAGGGCTGTTGTCTAGGATGGTGATCTGTAAGTTTTCCCCTTTAAATAAATGACCCTTTTATTAATCATAATTCCAAACTGGTGTGGGATTGTTTTGTGACTTACTCCTTTACCCTGAGCCTTTTTTTTTTGGTAGTACTCTTTACTTTTATGTGTATCAATGTTTTTCCTACATGTGTGTATGTGTGCCTGATGCAGGCCTGTAGACGTTATGACAGAGTCAGATGCTCTGGAACTGGAGTTACAGAAGTTTCCCCTTCTTGTTCAGGTGTTGTTACTGTTCTATCTAGATATGTATGTTAAAAATTTCTGGGGTTAGAGCACTGGCTGCTTTTGCAGAGGATCTGGATTTGGTTCCCTGTGGTTGGACATTCTTTGGATGGCCAGCACCCAAATAATGAGCCAGAGACTTAAAATCCTTAGCTTAGGCTTGTTCCTAGCTAATTCTTATAACTTAAATTAACCTGTTTATATTAATCTATGTTCTGCCACATTGCTCATTACCTCTCCACCACACTTTATGTCTGACTCCCTGCCCCGTACCCAGAGTTTCACTGATAAATTTTCCGTACCTCAGATTCCTCCCAGAATCCTTCTCTCTCTGGAAGCCCTGTCTACCCTTTCTTGCCTAGCTATTTTCCATTCAGCTCTTTATTAAACCAATCAGGTGCCTTGGCAGAGATACATCTGTACATTGTACAAAAAGACTATCCCACAACAGTTCCCAGCCCCTACATGGTAGCTCACAACTATAATTCTAGTTCTAGGTTTTCAGATGTCCTCTTATGGTCTTGGAAGCTGCACACATGGTACATTTACATACATGCAGGCAAAAATACTCATATACATAAAATAAAAATAAGTTTACTTTCTTTCTGCTCTAAGTTTATAGAAGACAATCCTGGTTACTTCAGTTGGGCTTCTACTTACTAAGGAAGAAACCTGACTTACACACAAACACACACATTATAATACAGCATGGCCAATAAGAATTTATTTTACCCATACACCATCAAAATTAGGACAACTGCTGGGTGCAGTGGTGCATGCCTGTCATACATTTAGGAGGCTGAAACAGGAAGATAGCTGCATAGTTGGCATCTAGGCCAGCCTGGGTGTTATAAGACCCAGTGGTGGTGAGAATCAGAAAGTATATTCTTAAAACAACGAAGAGGAAAACTATCATGTTTAGTCAATGTACAAAGTGGATGTAACAAAATGCTACTCCGTTATGAGAAAACTCAGCACAAGCGCTGTTCAGTCAGTTTCAGAACAAGCACCCACAAACCGAAGCTAGTAGGTTAAATGGGAAAGTATTGTTATTTTTATTGTATGGCACGTTTTAGAGGGCCTAAATAAGGAAAATAAATAAAAGACACTGTCATCAGATAAGAAAAACTAAAATGATATATAGGTAGTGGCACATTTTAAGAAAGATAAGACACTGGTAAGAGAAAAAATGGTATTTGTAGATAGCATGATTGTGAGTGCCAAGAATCTACAAACACACTATTAGAAATTCGCATGCACACATAAATAAACTAGGTTACTTAAATAAGGCAAATATGTAAAAATCAATTATGTCTATATATTGGCACTGGAAAACTCAATTTTGTCCTTTGTGTGTCTGTGTGTGGCGGGCATGTTTGGAGGTGCAGGTGTGTGGTGTGCATGCGAGGCAGTTCTGTCAGATGTCTTTAAGCTCCCACAGCTCATTTTGGCAGTCTAGCCTGTTTGCTCCAACGCAACTATGACAAGATTTACTGCTACCATTCAGGGCATGGCTTAATAACTAATGAGTCAAGACAATGAAGGAAAATAATTCACAGCACAAAATTAGAATTAAGAGTGGGAAGACTGTAGGGAAGTTAGAAAATTAGAAGCACAAAATTTTTTCTTTCTCTTTAATAAAAATCATGCATTTTGACAATAACATAGGAAAAGGAAAATTTCAGACATTGTGAGGTAGTTTTTTTTTTTTTAAGTTTGGTCCCTTGCTTTAAAAATGCATGTATTTTAGTTATTCCCTATTAAAATATTGGTTGTAGTAAATATGCTCATAGCTGATATTTCTTTTGCTAATAACAACAGCATAGCACTCCTAAACTCAGATTTTTCTAGGGTTTATATATTGCATATATTATATATTATATGGACAAAATAAAAGTGTTCCTTTTACCTTACAAATGGTCAGTGCTAATGTTTGTAACTTTAAAGTATCTGTTCTTAAAAGGTGACTGGAAGGTAGGAAAACTTTCTCAATTATTATATAGCCAAGGTTTATCCTTGTAATTTTAATCTCATAGGACTAAATTGAAAGTTTCCTCATATTCATTATATTTATTAAGTCAATATGAAGTATATATTCCGAGGAACTTTGGTTAATTGCTTTTACTCATGCAAATCTGTGTTCAAGGAGTCCTCTTCAATATGAATTTTGTAGTGATTGGTAAGGGAGGATCTCTGGCTGAAGAGCTTCCCACATGCACTGCATTCATAGGGCTTCTCTCCAGTGTGGATTCGCTGGTGTGCAATAAGGGAGGAGCTCTGTCTAAAACTCTTCCCACATGTGTTACACTTAAAGGGTTTCTCTCCTGTGTGAATTCTCTGGTGCTGTATAAGAGCTGCACTTTGACCAAATGACATCCCACATTCCTGGCATCGGTACGGTTTCTCCCCGGTATGAATTCGCTGATGGTTACTGAGGGATGAATTGCACCTGAATGTCTTCCCACACTCATTACATTTATAAGGTCTCTCTCCAGTGTGCATTCTCTGATGCTGGATGAGAGCTGAACTCTGTCTGAAGGCTTTCCCACAGACTTTACATTTACATGGTTTCTCTCCAGTGTGAATTCTCTCATGAATAATAAGAGTTGAATGGGAACTTAAGGCTTTGCCACATTCATTACAATTATACAATTTCTCCCCAGTGTGAATTATTCGGTGTCTGTTGAGTCTTGAGATAGAAGTGAAGCCTTTTCCGCATTCATTACACCTGTAGGGCCTTTCTCCAGTGTGAATTCTTTCATGTTGAATAAGTGAAGCGCTCTGACTGAAGGCTCTGCCACATTCGCTACATTTGAAAGGTTTCTCTCCGGTGTGGATTCTCTGGTGATAGCGAAGGGAGGAGCTAGACTTAAAGGTGTTGCCACACTCGTTACACAAGTAGGTCTTCTTTCTGGAATGGATTCTCTGATATCCTGAAAGGGAAGTGGATGCCTTCCTACCTGGGTTATATTTATGAGGATTTTCTCGGGCATGGATTTTTTGATGCAGAAAAAGGCCAGACCTCCTGCTAAAGGATTTTCCGCATTCTTTGCATGTATAAGATTTCTCCAGAGTATGAGTTCTTAGGTGCTTACAAAGGGACGCACTATGGCTGAAGGCTTTCCCACACTCCTTACATATGTAGGGTTTCTCTCCAGTGTGAGTCCTTTGATGTTGAATAAGAGCAGAACTTTGGCTGAAAGCTTTCAAACAATCTCTACATTGAAATAATCTCTCTCCCGTATGGTTTTTCAGGTGTTTTCGAAGGGATGAGTTGTGCATGAAAGCTTTTTCACAGGTACTACATTTATAGCGTTTCTCTGCAGTCTTGATTTTTGGTTGATTAAGTGAGTTTGAATTTTTCTTGAGGCTATTTCTTTGTTTTTTTTCCCTAGTGATCTTTCGTTTACCAACTGACTTCAGGTCGACGTTTGGACCAAATTCAAAATTCTTATGGCTTTTATCTACAGTAAGGATTTTCATATGGGTGACTGGAGTTATTTGTAAGCTTTCATTTTTGTCCTGCTTTTTAAAACCATTGCCAGATCTGCAGAAATTTCCTGAGGTGAAGTCCCAGGACTTGTCTCTTTTGAGATGTTTCTTCACTAATCCCTGAGATGATGAATCTTTAGTTTGAGTTGATTTTGTGGTTTGAAGACTGCTGTTGCATCCTGGAAGAAAAAAAAAATTGCTGGTGATGGGTATGATTAGCTAAGACTAGATTTATAGGAAGAATATAGGAAGATACCTAAATAAATACTATATGCCTAAAGATACTAGCAAGAAGGAAAAATGGAAAATACTACTTTATAAAATAGTGTACGAAGCCGGGCGGTGGTGGTACACGCCTTTAATCCCAGCACTCGAGAGGCAGAGGCAGGCGGATCTCTGTGAGTTCGAGGCCAACCTGAACTACAAGAGCTAGTTCCAGGACAGGAACCAAAAAAAAAGCTACGGAGAAACCCTGTCTCGAAAATTAAAAAAAAAATAGTGTATGAGAGCTAAACAACTGGAATGAACAAAGCTCATTTAAGGGGGCTGCTCTCCGAAGGGAATGGGGGGCTGGGCCCAGCTCCAGGCTGCTTATGACTCCTCAGTCCTGTACAAGACTCTCAAATCCTCAGGTCAAATCCTTCGATGGGCCATAGCAGGATCTAGTCTGACTGCTGTCTCCTGGGTCAACAGTGGCTCCCTTCTGACCATTACTAGACAATTCCTAGACTGGACTCCACATGATCAGGGAGCTCCTGTCTTTGCTGCCTAGTCCTCACTAGACTTCTCGTGTCTAATGTGACCGTCATTCTGTGTCCTGTGTGTGCTTGGTATCTTCACTCTCATTGTCCCCACTAGATTGCACAAGAACAGGACCAGGTCCCATCCTGCCTGATGCTGCCTTGCTTATATCCAGCTTATTTAGATAAGGACATGGCCAGATGGTAGGGCCAACTGGGAGTCCTGCTCTCACGTCAGGGAGTCTCCTTTATTCAACTCTCAGCTGCCAAAACATCCACCTCTTCCATTTCTTCATTTCTTTTTCCTCATCTCTGATTCCTTTCTCTTAAACATGGTGCAATGGCATTCCTGGAATTCTGCCCTCTGTAGTCAACTCAAGGCTACAAATTCCACTTTCATGTGTCTATGAGGGGTTTTAACCTCTCATGTGGATCCCAACTACATCTGTCTTACCTTAGACATCTACCTATGGGTGAACAACTATCCAAGTACTTCAACTGGAAACCACAGAAAACTCCTACGCTCTCACCCAGCAGACACCGTCTCACTTCCCTCACTCCTGAAGCAGCCACTCCATCCCCTACTCGTCTCCTGAAGTGGCTCCAGGAAGCTTCCACCTCTAGCTTCGCCTTACTTTGCATCTGTCCTCCTAATGCTTCCAAAATAGCCAGTCTTAGTGAATTCCAATCACATAAGGACTTCACGACTGTTAACAGTCTCTGAAAGAAACTACACATCAGAATAAAGTCCCTCTTTACAGATGCATTCCAAAAGTAATGACTGCTTTCCATGGCTCCCTGCCTACACAGCTGTCACTCATGCAAACAACACGTTTTCTTGAGCAGAGATGGTGCCACATCTTCACAGAGCTCTGCAGCCTTTTCACTCCCCAGCCTGTCGTGGAGCTCTGTCCACATCAGTGTGTTCTTTCATCTTAAGCAGGGTGATACAAGCCAGAGTGGGGATATGTCAGAGCTCTTTAGTTGTGTATTTATTTGGGGCATTTATTTCTGCACCAGACCTGTTTTCCCCACTAAAATATCAGGGATCATAAAAATCTCCTTAAACTTCTTAGATATTCCTATTATCCAGAGGACAGTCCAAATCTCTCAAAACTATACCAAAACACCATGAGGCCTTCCAAGCTCATTCTCTTTGTCTTTTCTTTCTATAATACTCTGTGCATAGCTAGAAAGAATTACTTTCAATATATCCTTAAGTATGCTGAATTATTGTGCACGAAACACAGCCTCCTCAGGAAGAATAAGAGATTTTGAGATATTCATTTATAAAGTCAGCAGAGACAGGAGGGGAAGCTAGGGTCTAGGATCTTGGGATTTCCATTTCCTATCAGTCCTTGAGGATCAAGTACCTGAAGAAATCTGTTGAGAATAGGCTGATCCAAGGCTTTCTCTGAGGCCCTGGTGTATGGAGAGGGAACATGCTTGGCAGAGTTAGTAATGGCCTGCAGGCAGGGCTTTGGGGGAGCCTCAGCTTCAGATCATGAGTACGCAACTCTTCTAACACCAAAGAGCTGTGGTTAGCAGTCCCAAGGCTGCCATGGGCTCAGTCTGTGACACTCGCTTAAGGTATTCTGTGTTCCCTTTGTGCAACACTGCTTGGCTAGCTTCCTGCTGGCATCGCCCCACTGTGTGAGAGCTTTCCTCTGACTCTCCCGTCCCCACCACAAAGAGAATATAAGATGCTGCACTTCTTAATAAACTTGCTTGCATAGATTCCTGACCCAGTTTTCCTATCTTCTTTATCTTCTCATCCTTGGTCCTCCCCCTTAACAGCCCTGTCACTAAAGAACCCGCTGCTCTAGGGCAGTCTCCAGTCACTGAGGTTACCTTCTGTTCTGATTTTGTAGAGATTCTGGGGTATCACAGGCCCACCCACTCACCAAGAGAGGAGTTGCCATGACTTTCTTTCTCTGCTTTCCAGGGTTCTTCTCCTTGCTGCAACACGGAGATCATTTTTGGTTTGGTAAATGGAAATCCTGATCACAAACAAAATTAACAATAAAAAAGGCTTATAGTTTTGTTTTAACATGAACAAGCATTGCATATTTGTGTGGGAAGCTCAGGAGATGGCATAGCACACTTTTATAGGGTACTTAGGCTGTTGCCTGTCATCTGATGGGATGTGTTGAGCAGAGGCCAAGTAGCTCATAGGAGGTGACTGGCAGAACTAACTGTACATTATGGAAGCACAATAAGCAGGCAGTTCTAGAAAAGGAACATTGGGTATACAGGCAGAATGAAAACTTCTAAGCAGGTATCTGTGAAAAAGATTAGGTGTCAAGTAGCCTGTTTCAGCAGGAAAACACAATTTTATCCCTTTTCAAAGATAAAGTATACAGCATTGACCTGACTGCAAAAAGGAAGTGGGAGAGGCAAAAGATAGGTAGAGAAGGAGGGTTGAGGGACGTCTGCTTACAGGCAGCACAGAATAAATATAATAAGAAAATGCAGTTTCAACCCTGAAAAGGATTTCTACTGTCAAACTACGGACAGTATCAGCCCCCTTTGTTCTCTTATTTTGGGCACTTAAACACCTGAAAGTGGCAAACAGTTCCAGCATTTATAGAGATCTGATCTGTACAGACCTACAGCAAAACCCAGTTAGGGTGTTTTAATAACCACAGCTTTCATTCAGGGAAGGCGATGCTAAGGTCTCATTCTGAATCTATGCCCACAGGGAACGCCCTTACCCAGGGAGGCCAGGTTGCTGTAGTTCTCCAGCATCACCTCCCGGTACAGGCTTCTCTGAGAGTGGTCCAGCTTCTTCCACTCATCCCGAGTAAAGAGCACGGCCACATCCTCGAACGTCACTGACGCCTGTGAGGGAGAGCCATTCCAACTCTAGGACCAGCGAGTTGCTGTATGCTCCTCATACAGCATGAGGGAGATGACAGGGTGGGAGGTGGACGGGCCATCGTGAAATGCTGCTGATGCCACTGAAGGTTCTAAAGGGGCCGGATCACCCATTTAATGATCAACCAGCCACTCATACACAGAGAGAAGCGGCGGGCAGAAATCCGGCTGTGTGTGCAGGGAGTGTGGCCATTAGTGCACATCATGGCTGTGTGTGCAGGGAGTATGGCCATTAGTGCACATCATGGTAATTAGAAGTTCTTCTGATAAAGGTTCTTTTGAGTTTTTTATTTTGTTTTTGTTTTTGAGATAGTGTCTATATAGCTTTGGATGGAACTGGAAATTGATATGGTAGACCAGGCTGGCCTCAAACTCACAGAGATCTGCTTGCCTCTGCCTCCCTAGTACTGGGATTAAAGATGTGCACCACCATGGCCAGCAAGATTCTTTACCCTTAATTTCCACATGCATGCAATACCTATAGAGGAAACATAATTTATTATGGAGAGAATACAAAAGATGGTCTTTGCTTGCTCTAATCAGTGAATAGGAACATGCATAAAATAATTTCAACATTGCAAAAAAGCTGTGTAGATAGACTGGTAAGCCTGTACACAATCTCCTGCTTCAAGCCTCGCTTCAGAGACAAGAATGTGAGGTCAGCAGCTGCCAAAACCACTGATAGCAGCACCGCAACTGAAGACATCTCACGTGAACACAGGACCTGCTCTGTTCTTTCCTTGGTCTTAAACTTCTGGACCCTGAGGATTCCTGTTTTTGTTTTTACTGTAGTATTGACATGGGGAGAAGATAAGCGAGATGTGGGACATGGTTCACAAACACACACAGGGGTGAAGGTTCAGGACATGAACAAAACTTGACTCTCCTAGATGGAATGTGAAGGCTTAAGGAAACGGAGCTACCCAAATCCCAGCCCTTTAGGGTCCAAAGATAACCTGTATTGTTAATACAGTGTAGTCTGGTGCCAGGGTAACTGAAGCTGAGTCGTCACTATGAGCCTGGCCTGATCTAAACACCTTCCACGAACTAACTATGCCATTCTCTGACCTATTCTAGAAGAGGACAAGTGTTGCTATTTTTATTTTCTTGGTGAGGAAACTGAGGCACAGAAAGTTAGACTTACTTTCTCAAGGCCCACAAATGGCAATAGAGGGGATGGGTTAAAATTCAGCTGTCTTGAGCATCCCATTTCCTGACCCCTGTGCTCACTGATTTTCTTCATGGCTTCTTGAGAAGTTGTCTCCCTGCTTTCAGAGTCATGCTCCTGAAACTGTATCCCCTGCAGTGTGGCTTTCCTTTGTCCACGTGGTGTCTCATCTAGGTGGGGCATCTCTTAAATTCCTGCACCTTAAAATGGCAGGTCACGATTAGTTTTCACACAAATGCTACAATCGAAACTTAGGTTCCAAAGAGTGGTGGTGCTGGTGGGGATATGGCCTGGAGAAGGCTGAGGGGGCATCTAAGTATTTTCAAGGGCAAAAGGAAATAGATGAGCACTCTTAGTGAGGGCTGAGAGAAGCATACACGAAGGAAGGAGGCAGACCAGAAGGACTTTCCCCAGATGTGTCCCTAGTGATAAGAGGGCACTTGCATCTGGGCGGAGTGGCACACACCTTTAATTCCAGCACTTGGGAGGCAGAGGCAGGTGGATCTCTGTGAGTTCGAGGTCAGCCTGATCTACAAGAGCTAGTTCCAGGACAGGCTCCAAAGCTACAGAGAAACCCTGTCTCCAAAAACAAAAACAAAACAAAAGGACACTTGTATGTCACTGTCAATTTAGTAGGTATACAGCAGACTGGGGTCAGCCAACAGCGAGGCTAGACAACTGTGAGCACAGGGTGTGCTCGCTACATAAACCACTCACGATGAAGGACCAGCTCCTCCATGGGCACCAAATCCTGGATACAGGGCTTCAGTCAGAAAGGAAAAACAAAACCATACAAAACCCACTTTCTACTAAGAATTGAGACGGCAACGCGCTCACCTGAGACTTCCCTTCCCTTTGCTCTGGAGCCATGATCTCTTTCTGGGCTTTTCTTAAGGATGGGTACAGTCTCCAAAAATGTGATCTGAGGGAAGAAAAAAGTCGGACTACTTCGCACCCTCAGAAGCACCATGTCCGAATGTGTCCTATCAGCATCAGCTGAGCCTGGCTCTCCTGCCTCCAGAGAGAGAAGCAGGAGCTGGGGATGGGCATCAGAGAAGACTTAGGCGACACTGGACTCCATCATAGAGCGGACTCACTGCGCCCCCACGTGCCAGCTGGCATTGCCCGGCCCCTTCAGGTTAGGAAACCGAGGCCAGAGTCACAGTGAGGACGCACCCGTTTCCACCTGCTCAGATCTGACACAGGCCCAGGACAGTGTTCCTCCACTCCACGTGATGCCCACCCAACAGCGCAGATGTCAAAGGGTCAATTTCCAGAACCCTAGAGAAAACCCCAGAAAGGGGACCAGAGGCTCAGGGCAGCCCAAGCTGGGGCCGCCATAGGCCTCCATGTCCTCCAGCCTGGCCACGCCGCTCACCTCCCTCTGGCTCCCGCCACGCCTCATGAAGGCTCCGAGCCACGAGTGGAGACTCAGCCCCGGAGAGCTCGGCCCCGAGCCTCTTAGCCAGCCTTTCAGAAGCCCAGCAAGCCGGTTGAAACTCACAGGGGAGGCGGGGCTGGGAAAGGGGTTCGAGGACTGAGGACGCGCAGGCCTTTGGGAAATGTAGTCCACTCCGGGACACAGGGTTTCTGGGATTTGAAGTTGACCGGCTCTGTCGCTCTGGTGCGCAGCTGCAGTGGAGGCCCCGCAAAGGGCCCCGGGTTCAGCAGCTCTGTGGAGTCTTGGATGTGGAAAGCATCGTAATTGCATTTGTTTGAATGGTGGTGAGGCCAGCCGACACTGTCCCGAAAAGACCCACTTCTCCCGCAGTTACTTGAAATCGTATTGCGTTGTAAGGCTTTTGAAATAAACTAGAGAACAAAAGGGAACATCATTTGGTTTGCAGTGCTTTTTAGTGGGATAGAGAGTAGACACTGACCTGTGCAAAGAATTATTTAGACTCCGAGGGTATTACAAGATTCAAAGCAAAAAAGGGGCAGGCTGGCTGAAACCTGGAGCTCCGGGGTTTACAATCAATCAATCCTTTGGTCTGAAAGCAATGCAGCGCGCGCGAACACACACACACACACACACACACACACACACACACACACACACACACACGGGGGGGGGGAGCAAATTGCTGCCAATGAAAATGCTGTATGTTGCAAGTTCAATAGATTCTGACACACACATATTTATCTCTGTTTCTGATATAGATACAGTGCACTCAGGACAAAGATAAGAATCGAATACAGTCATGCTTTGCTTACTGGTAGGTGTACATTTCTGAAAAACGGGTTATTTATCTAAACAGTAGATTATACGTGCTACACTTCTGTGTGGCTGGACACACAGGCGTGCTTACCGCAAAAGTGTGAATAATGTGATAAAGTTTATAAAAGCTCCGTAGCTAGGAGGTAGAAAACACTCAGTTCCAATGGAATCTCATGAAACCTCTATCACATAACATCAGAAAACAGGCTAATACAATACGTTTCATGTATGCATGTATAGCTTCATGTGTAACTAGACATATACGCTCATACAGACATGCACACACACCAGTGTGAGCGAATATTCTTAGCCCCCACCTTGCATCCCTACTGCTAACATGCTACTGTAATATTTACTACAGAGACGGGCATTTCCTAATTCTCCTGGGTCCCCTTCCCTGCTCAGGAAATGCTAGCATTGCTCAGGGCTAAATCCTAGGAGCTTTTTTTCTCATTATTGACTCTTGAGTTTTCCCTACCTCGACTATTGTTTTAATTGCCTTCAATTCTCTAGTATCCCCTAAATTTTTTTTTCTGAGTTCTGGTAATAATCTGAACTCTGCCCTTATCCAGTTTTAATAAGAATTGAGAGAGGGTCCTGTATCATCCCTCAAACTTTGCTACCCACCTCTCTCTTGGGCTGGTCCTACTCCTAGTGTGCAGCTTTCCTTGGCATATATCCCACGGTTCTAGCATCTTCCACACTTGGCAATCTCTGACGGAATACGGACTTCATTTCCACGGCTTCGTGCAATGGCCTCTTAGGGAGGTCCTGCCACACACATGGTCTCAGCCGCTCTGTGAAACTACAGAGTAAGATTCCACATCCCCATTGCTCAAGCCTCCTTCATGACTCTAGAGTCGATTTGAATAACACCGTCAAGTTTGGCTGCCAGCTTGGAATGAGCTCTGGACCCCTTGAATCACATTGGTGGTAGCTTTTGTTTGTCCTTCCTTCCCAGGAGCAGAAGATTCCTTAGGCCTTCTTCTTTTAGAAGGTGGAACTGAGCTGGATGGGGTCTTGCCCTGAGGATGCCCTTCCCTTTACTTCTCTACAGATCAGACCTCTCCTAAGCCTTATTATCCCTCTCAGCGTATGCTTTGGCTGCCACAGTAAGGTTCCTGGTGCTCCTTTCCTCTTCAGACTGCACACTTTGTTTCTTTCTGTCTCATTTGCTCTTTCTTCATTCTAGACCTACGTGAGACTGAGTCCTGATAGCCACAGGACATAGTCAATGTAGGTCTCTTGAAACGCCCTCCTCCAGAAAAACGAATCTATTGCATTAAATTTAGCCTCAGGTATGTTCCTAGGACAAGGGTAGAAAGCATTCATATTCTTTGCCAAAATATCACAAGAATGGTCTCTGACCCAGTTGCTAATATTGTTTCCCCTGAAACCTCCTGAGCTAGGCCCCTGCAGCCCACATTGCTATCAGCCCTACATT